CGTCCTTACAATTAATCGATTCTGCTGTTCAACTCTTTGTGAATTGAATAATATCTCGTGAATACGATAGTAATGATTTCAAACGATGTGACTAATAACGACCTCTCTGTTTCATTCCATGGATATTGAATCTTTTGATTGGGGGAAAAATTGTCATCTTTTTTCGAAGACGATTTAATAGCTAGTAAGTGAAACCAAGGGAGAATTTCACGATTTTAAAAGGAGAATTGCGATTTGCTTATTAATAACAGATCAGGAGAAAAAGAACAATCGTAGCAATTTTTCACTTACCGCAACCTTCGTTAGAATCAACTGTGTTTAAGTGAATTAACTATATATAAAATACCATTGAATTTTTATTTTATTTAAAACAAAGTGAATTTATGTAAAGCGTTAATATCCTGAAATGTAAGATTTTTTTAATTTTTTTATTTGAAATGCAAAGGAATCTTTGCATCTTAAAAGGCAGAGGGATGACATCTCCGATCTAATATTTGATAAATTGGGATAAAATGCTGCATAAATATTTTATTCTCCTTGGGATAAACAGAAATTATTCCCCACGCTAGAACGTATTTTATAAACTAAGTATCTGCTAATTGTAACACACCTACCAGAGTTCGGTTGTATTGAAACGTAACAGAGAGAATAACGATTTCGATACGTCTCGACGCAGTGTAATTAAATCCGGAAAATTCGAACAAGTTCTTTCTTTTTAAACTAGTTTCGCGTTAGTCTGAAAACAAAATTCTCTGACAGTTCAGAGAATTACAGGACGGATAATCGCGAGCTGGATGGTTGTTTCATTTTGTCTCGAGGATCGAGGGATGTTAATGCGAGCATATTCCGTGTGTGTTCCCACGCGAAACGTGCTCGAGTTGATTGCTTCGGTAGCCCGCCTCGCGTTCACGAGAGCACGCTGCAGGTATGAAATTATACTCGTGACGTAATTAGTATCAACTCGTACGAGCGTGTCGTTCGAAAATGACGCTTGACCCGCCCGGATTCCTATCATTTATGCGGATCGAACCGACGCGATTACAACAGGCGAAATTAGCAACAGTTAAAGTGACACGGTTCCGTCGATAGTTGCCGACGAGATCGCGTGGCAAAACTGCAGACGCGCAGTGAAAGAGAAGTCTCATTTCCGGTTCTAACGGGAAAATATAAATACACGCGCGCCACTCGTAAGCCCTGCCCCGTTAAATTCACAACTTTGACTTACGCTCGTAAGCAACGAACTATTTTTAAAATCGAGTCCAAGTACATCTCGCGTGAAAATCGCGATTAAGAATAGAAATTCCATTTTGTCGCTCTCTCGCGATCTCGTGGACTTTTACTTCGTTTCGGGAAAGCTCTATCGACGATCTACTTTACTTCCCTCCTCTCTCGATGGAGAATAACTTCAAAAATTTATCCGAACGTTGCCAGAGGATTGCACGAAAGCAGAGGGTTATTTCTCT